GCGGCGGCGGCGGCCCCCGGCGGCTACGGCGGCCACCATGGCGGAGATATGTACCACCCGATGATGTACGCACGACCGTACCCCGCCGTGAATTACGCCCAGCCGCCGCATACTGACTCGTACACTCACTTCTTCAGTGACGAGAACACTGACAGCTGTAGTATTATGTAAAATGGGTATTGTATTTTAGATATGCGATGCGTTTGTACTTTTGTAGTAATGTTTTCTTTATGACTCTCCCGGTTTACCTTTGAGGACAAAAATTGAAAATTAATAATTTGGTGGTCCGACATGAAATATGCCGAAAATCTAGACACGTGTAAGCGTATATTATAATTTTATCCTTATATCTATAAATTTGCGATTTGGGATCCTCACCTCATGGGATTTGGAAAGCCGCAAATGCATATATTTTTATGCAAATGTAAATGTTAATTTGTGGATCAATTTATTTAAATTAGATCGAAGCTTGATTATTTAAAACTCGTTTTTTGTGACATTAATGGGCTGGTTTTATATTGCATCTTATCATTACGTATTGGGCCTTGGTTACTCCAACCCACCACAAAGTATGACGTGGCCTTTATAAACCCGTTCCATATTTGATGCATTGAAAATTCCGGTTAAAGCCCTCGGATTTCCACACGGCCCATTTTAGGGAACACCATAAAAATTTTAACTCCATCTTGGTATTTACGATATTTGTAAATTCAAAATTTAATTTTTATATCTGATCATTTAATCTCTTGTCATTAGACCGAAATAAAATATTTATAATTACAATAAAACTGAAAAAAGTGTATTTGATAACGTCATTAGACTAATATTTTGTGATTAACAACACCGTTTTTAATTGCATTCTTATCAAAACAAAATCAGAGGATTGTTGATTGCAAAATTCTCGTCGCATTTTTGTTTCTTTTCCAATTTAGATCAGTAAGAAAAATCATCTAACATTGGGTTATAGATATTTGTCTGTAGAAATTTTGACACATCAGCAGTTCGGGCCCACACTTTACGTGTCTCGACCAATCACGTAACAGCTTCGATATAAAAAAAAAAGTATTAATCGACCGTAAAAAAAAGATTCAAAGAGGAAAAAAAACGTTCTTCTTCCTCACCGTCCGGTCAAACAGACAGATCGCGAAGCGAACTCGGTAAACGGAAAGTGCCCTAACCAGCGATTTGAAGGGGGAAGGGCCAAAGATGCATTCTTTTGGTTACAGAGCCAATGCTCTGCTCACGTTCGCCGTCACGATTCTCGCGTTCATGTGCGCGATCGCCTCCTTCTCCGACAATTTCAACAATCCAACTCCTTCTGCTCAGATCCAGGTATAAGATTCGCATATGTATATTCGACTTTGGAGAGCGTTCTTTATATATGGTGTATGCCGGATCTGTCTTTGATTGCTTTGGTTTTTCTCCGGGTTCGGGTTGTGTAGAACCCTAGTTTTGATTCTGGCTTTTTTGGTGGTGGACTGGAAGTTCAGTATTTGAAACTGGGAAGGATTATTTCTGGGTGCTGGAATCATGGAACTATGGAAATCCCTTTTTCTGAAATGGGTTTTTGGTTTTGGTTACAGATATTGAATATCAACTGGTTTCAGAAGCAACCCCATGGAAATGATGAGGTGAGATTTATTGTTCTTGTTTGTTTTTCTGAAAACTCGTGGCTTGTGATGTATGACGTGCACATTCTTTGGTAGCCTAAGCATGTCCATTATCGATCTATGGTGGTGATATTGATATAGGTTGACTAAGATGAAGGAAATTCTAGATAAAAGCATTTCTTCGCGTTGCTTTAGAGAAGTAGAAGCTTACTCTCAAACTTTGAAAGAGTTTGTGGTACCTTTAAAGGCGTCAAATTCTCTGTAGAGTTATCTTGAGCTTCATTCATCTTTTTGGGTTTCTTCTTGTCTTTGATGGAATTAAGAGTTCGGATGCCATTTTTGTCCTGGCGTAGTACCAGCCGCAAATCTCAAAATCGAACTTTTGGGATTATATATTAGTCCCAGGTCCTGATCCTGGAAGTTATCCTTGATTTCGTATATCATGGACTTTGGTTATGATATTTCAGAAGTGGTAGTAGCTCATAAGCTTACCTTCAGTCCTTCCTTTGTTTGTTCTTCATGGGTATTCTTCATCTTTGTTCTTTTTCGATTCATAGGTTATTCGCCAGCCGTTTCCTTTGTTCCTATTGTTTAATTTTTTACGTTTCATGCAGGTCAGCTTGACACTGAACATAACGGCAGACTTGCAATCACTATTTACTTGGAACACAAAGCAGGTTTAACATCTGGATTTAACTTAAATTTCTATTCTCTCCATGACCCAAGTCTCGCAAAATATGCTGAAACCTGTTGGATACTGCATTTCCAAGGTTCAAGAAATTCGCATAGAACAGACTTGTTTGGTTGAATGTGCATTGCCAATAAGTGTATCCACAGCTTCTTGTACCAATTTTTCCTGGCAAAGTACTAAACCCCCCTGGAAAGTTAACACAAAAATGAATTATTTGCAGGTTTTCGTGTTTGTAGCGGCAGAGTATGAAACCTCGAAGAATTCCTTGAACCAGGTATAGTCTATATGCTCCAATACTTTATTCCGCCGAAAACCTTATGGTTCTACTGTCGTTGTCTTCGAGCCCTTGAAATAAATCTGGATCCTTTTTGCTGAATTCCTTGAAATTCAACATTTTTTCACAGGTTTCTCTGTGGGATGATATAATACCCGAGAAAGAACACGCCAAATTCTGGACCCAAATCTCAAACAAGTACCGTTTCATTGATCAGGTACTCGAAGCTTTGCCCAATATTTTCTCCGACTCCAATCCCATCCTCTTGTTTCTTCTTCGCAAGAGTGTTTCAACGATTTCCGGATCTTGCAGGGACACAATCTCCGCGGCAAAAACTTCAACTTGACAATGCACTGGCATGTCATGCCCAAGACTGGGAAGATGTTTGCTGACAAGATAGTGATGTCTGGTTACCGTTTACCAAAGGCATACAGATGATGACAAGGTCGAGTTTTTAGGGTTTTTGGTTTCGGTTCCAGTGGAAGATTTGGTCTTTTATACTGTAAAACCGGAAGAAGAATTTCATGTTTTGGGCATTAAGAGACACCAGGGAGAGGTTCTTCAGTTGTTCAGACGCTTCAATTCCATGATGCTAAGCAATTGTTTTCCGGGAAAATTAACGAACCGGGCCGGACTAGACTGGGTTGGCTCTAGTGAACCATACCTAAATTCTTGTTGATAGAGAAAAATAGTCGAATATTATCCTAATAAAAAAGATTAGATAAGATATAAATGCAAGATTATAAGAATTTATCATCAAAATATCTGTGGATAGATTTTATTGAAAAGATATATTTTAGATAATATAAATGAAGTTATTATGGATAGATTTAAAAAATTAAAAAATGTAGAATTCAATTGTAATATATATATATATACACGAATATGTATGTGTATATAATATATATGTATGTATATATGTATATATATGTGTATGTATATATGTATTTTAGGTGTATTTTTGTATTTATTTCTTTATTTTATTAATTTTTAAAATTATGTGGCGGTGATGTGACAATAAATTGGAGATTTTTCAGAAAAGCATAAGATTTTCGTTTGTACACGTAGACAACATGCTTGTTTTGGTGGGAAACTTAAAAAACAGGATTTTTGTGGAATAAAATAATTGTATATATTTTTTTAGAATAAATATATAAGATTTGAAATAAAAGTATAGGGATTTTTGGCTATTCTTCTAATAATCAATTGAAATTTACCCAAAAAAAATATATTTTGAAAGCACAAGGTTTTTAAGAAATTTATTTTCAAGAGATCTTATTATATGACTCACGAGTTGTAATTGGTTTCAAATATATTCATGTAATTTAAAACTTTAGTCAATATCTTTAATTGTTTTGGAATAAGGTTAATCGAGTAATTTCAAAGAAAAAACAGGGGAAGGGTATTGTTATTTCTTTTCTACTCTGTTTTATTTTCCTTCTCTCTCAAGGAATAGATACAGTTTTTTTTTTTCGAGGGCAATTGAAAATGGCGATAAGATTTCGAATACTTTTTCCTAATCCCAAGCGATAATGGCGTCCTAATCCTTATGAAAGACGGAAAACGAGTCCTATATCTACACTGCACACACGCGTACTGTCATCCCCTGCGATACTTCAGGCTTTGAAACGAAGTCGGAGCAACGATGGCTGTTGCTGGGCGGTTGCGTTCCCAGCCTGGCTCTCTTGCCGGGAAACCTACCGTTACTCTGAAGAAACGTGGGCTACTCCCACCGGAACCGCAGGGAGAAGACTGCAAGATCCGATGTAAGAAACTGATGAGAAGAGAGAGCGGGGGAAGAGGCGTGGAAGAAGATGAGGAGAAACCCGGGAAAAGCGCGAGTACCGCGGGAATTGCAGAAGAAGGTAAGAAGCAGAAGAGAAGAGTCAGATTGAAAGCTGTGAAGGCGGCTGAAGAAGCGGAGAGACCCAGAAAAAGAAGAGGCAGAAAGCGAGCAGAAGCTGTTCAAGTTACGGAAGAGACCGATATGGACATGATGACCGGAGAAGCTACTAGGGCTGAGGAAATAGCAGTGAGATGCAGACAGAGGAGAGTTAAAGCTGAGAGAGTTGTGGAAGATTCGGACAGGAACAGAACAAGATCCAGAACAGCGGAAATTCAAGAACTACACGAGGAGCCGGAGAAAAGAAGATCAGATTCTGTACATGTCATGGAGGAAGATGAGGAACACAGAGGGAGATCAGGAGCTTTGGAAGTAATGCCAGAGAGACCCAGCAAACTAGGAGCTGTGGCGAAAACCTGGGGAGCATATAACGAGGTGAGGAGGAGGAGAGGAGCTAGAAAAATTCAAGAATACGAGGAAAAACCGATAGCAAGGACGGATCCGGCTGAGATACTGAAACAAGAATGGAACTTGAAAGACGTGAAGGTTGAAGAAGAGCGGCCAGGCAAAACGGCCAAAAAGATCATAAGGATAACGTTCACCCGCGATCCTTATGCTACGGAGTCATCCACCGATGAAGAAGAGGTATCGGGAGAATCAGACAGCGTACGAGGAACTAAGTCATACCTCTACGAGGTTGAAGTAACACAGATTGACTGTCATCCATCACTACAAAAACTTGAGAACCCTTCTCTTCAGAAGCCTCCTCTGCACAAAAATGAGCAAAACAGTGAAGTTAGCAGCAAAAGAGAAGAGGAGGAGAGCAGTACAAATACAAGTGGGTCGGAGACGAGATATTCCGATGGTATTGAGGACTGCTTTCCCTATATTCCGGGTCCTATACCGGATCTCGATGTTCCTCTGAAGGATATTTACCATTACCTTCTGTTAAATTGATCAAAAGGGCTTGCCTGATGTACACGAATGTACTTACAGGTTGTACACTGTCTTTATTTTCATAAACGCTAACACCCATTTATCATATACTGAGGTAAATTACAAAGACCAGATTGTTATTTCTAATCGATCTCTTGATATATAAAAGTATAGATGCTAAATGTATTCCGAAAAAACCATTCGGAATGATGTTTAAATCACGGTTTCAACTGAACTATTTGCAAGAACTTTTGCTATTCTTCTGCTCTTCATGGATTCTCTGACTAGCTTCACATCATACCATCGTCCAGCTTTGGCGAAAATATTAGATAGAAGCACATAAATCCCGCTACCGAGGTCTTCTGATGTGGTCATTTGGGATCTAACACGGTCAGCGAGATCAACATTCTCGTGTATCTCGCAGCCATTTAGTAATGCTCCCCAGATATTAGCATTAGCTTGGACCGGCATTGTCTGTACCAATCTCTCTGCTTCTTCAAACTGACCTGCCCGGCTCAAAATATCGACCATACATCCGTAATGTTCAACCGCTGGCTCTATGCGGTAGAGGCTTCTCATTTCGGCAAAGTGTTTCCGTCCTTCCTCGACCAGACCACTGTGACTGCACGCATACAAAACTCCAACATACGTGATTTCATCGGGCGAGACCCTACCCTCCTCTTGCATTCTCTCGAAAACTCTCAATGCCTCTTCTCCATGTCCATGACTGGCCAAACCCATGATCATAACAGTCCAAGCTATTGCATCTTTCTTTTTCAGATCCTCAAACACTCTCTTTGCGCTTTCTGGGTTGTCACCTGTTTTGGCATACATATCTACAAGTGCACAGATAATAGCGGTGTCCTCCATAGCACCCGTCTTCAATACATAACCATGGATGCTTTGCCCTAATTGTGTGTTTCCTTGAACCATTGAAGCTCTGATCAAGCTAAGAAACGTAACTTTATCAGGCATGAAACCTGTAGCCTGCATTTCTGAAAACATACGGAATGCTTCCTCTCCATTACCGCTTTGACTGTAACTCGTGATGATAGCATTCCAAGAAACCAAATTTCTCTGTGGCATTTCGTCGAACAGATACCTTGCAGTTCTTAGATCACCACATCTTCCATACATATCGATGATGCAGGTGGCCAAGATCACGTTGAATTCAGCTCCCGACAGAGTAAATGGATCAAATCCCAGTTCTTGGGTAAGATTGTGTAACCGTTTGCCCGTTTGGATGTCTTTAATTCTGCCACAAGCAACCAGAAGATCCGCCATTATCATCTCGTTTGGCCGCACACCACTGCCCTGCATATCTGTAAAAGCCTGAATCGCATCACGGAACAGATTGTTATTCACAAACCCAGAAATCAAGCTTCCCCAGGCAACGGCATTCGTCTTCGGGATTCCCTCGAAAATCTTCATGCCCCTTTCAACTTCCCGGCAGCACATGTACATATGAAGCAAGCAAGTAGAGACATACATATTGGCTTCAAACCCTGTTTTCGCAACATAACCATGAACGCATCTCCCGAAAACAACATCTTTTATGCCTGAACAAGCCTTGAGAACGAAAGGGAAGGTGAAATGATCCGGAAGATACCCTTTCCGAAGCATTTCTCTGTAAAAGATCAAAGCTTTATCTGGATTTAGATTTTCAGAATAGCCTCTGATCATGGAGTTCCATATATATACACTAGGATGATCTATACTCTCGAAAAGAGATGTCGCATAGCTCAGATTCCCGGTCTCCGAATTTGTGCAGAAATCTATGAGCTTGCTTAAAGGAATGACCTTCTCGATAACGGAGGTTTTGATCATGAAGCTGTGAATTTGCTTCAGCTCTACCATGGTCCTGCAATTCTCCAATAGGGAGAGAACTGTATTGTAGTGTTTCTTCATGGGTTTCCCTCATACTGCTGCAGAGTAACAAACACGGGGAGGGGCTTATATAACAAATGAATCTGGATTCTCGATCTCGAATTCATCACACCAAATCTGCCAAGATATTCATCAAAGTTCACAGCTTTACGGATGGGATTGAACAAAGTTTTTGATACAGAGAAAAAATGAATGAAACCACAGAACCAGAAAGAGGAATTGATGAAAAAACCCTAAATCGAAACGCAAGAAAACCATTCCATTTATTAGGGTTTTCGCATTATTTATTGTACAAAACAGAGCCATTCACCGTCTTGGTACACTATTATACACACCACTTGCAAACGCAGTAGTATACACATATATACATCTATATCAGGTGGATGTAGGAAAGGCGTCAGGCTCCGGTTCAAGCGTTCACGATCATACCACCTGCGAAGTTACGTCGTTTTCACAGTCAATAGTGAATCCAAGGTCGGAATTCAGACAGTAAGATAACGAAATTACCGTTGGGATGGAGGACTTGGCCGGTGAAGTAGGAAGAGCAGTGGTTACAGGCCAAGAACACGTAGGACGGAGCGATCTCGACGGGCTGAGCAGCTCTCTTCATCGGCGTTTCCTCCCCAAACTTCTTGATCGTCTCTTCGGAGAACGAGGCCGTTACCAGCGGAGTCCAGACGGGACCCGGAGCCACAGCGTTCACCCGTATACCCTTCTGCACGAGCTGGAGGGCGAGTCCCCGGGTGAACGACACAATCGCTCCCTTCGTGGCCGCGTACTCGAGCAGGACCGGATTCCCTGAGTATGCGACCACCGAGGTCGTATTTATGATGCTGCTCCCTTCCTTCATGTGCTTCAGAGCATACCTACAAAGAAATGCCAAACCCGTAAAATCTCGTAATAGGGGCGTAAAACGAACCGGTGCGGTTCAACCGGTTCAATTCGTCAAAATAAGAAAATCCTCGATTCTAACCCGATTTAATTAGCTCGGATCAGTTCACCAAACCAAATACAAATAATAAAAATGTTAAAAAAACATTAAACCATAATAAAAATATTAAAACATAAAAAAATAATAAAAATTAACAATTCTACACGAGAAAATAAATATGATTCGACTCGTCTATATCCGTGTTTCATTTTATATTTAACGAAAACATGACAATGGTGATTTTTCATTTCGGTTGCTTACTTGGCGAGGAAGAACTGGGAGAAGATGTTAGTACGGAAAACTCTCTCGAGCTTGGCCTCCTCGATGTCCTCGATGGAGACCTCGTGCTGCTCGGCGGCAGTGTTGACGAGAACGTCGATGGCTCCGAAGGCGTTGACCACTTCGTCGATGACCCTCTTGCAGTTCTCCTCGAAGCCGAGGTCGGTGGGGATCATGATGGGGTCCTTGGCGTCGCGGGTCTTGGCTTCCTGCAGGGCGCGCATCGTGTCTTCCGCGTCTCTGTCCTCCCGTCCCTTCACGTACGTGAAGGCTACGGTCGCTCCCTCCAGGGCGAAGGTGTGACAGACCGCTCGCCCTATTCCCGAGTCTCCTCCCGTCACAAGCGCCACTTTTCCCTGCCCATATTCCACCAGTTCCATATACACGTCCGACGTTCTGATACATATATACATACGTACATATGTGTATATACACGTATTGCGATGTGTGTATATAGAGAATGTTTGATGGGAGTTATATATACCGGAATATCTGTGCAGTGTTACATCAAAAAAGAATGGCTTCTGCTCGAATCAAAGGCGTTGTATGTGCGTACAGTATAGTCGATATACATATATGTGTGTGTGTATACTAGTGATCGAAATCCAAATCTGGAAATGAACTATCTTCAACTGGGTTTTAAGTACTAGTTAAATACCTCATGTGTAGTCCTACGTGATTTGTTCGTATATGTTACAAGATGTCATGTAATCGTACACGGAGATGATTACATAATATTACACTATTAAGGAAAAGAACATATATAAACACATCCATATATATATATACACACACACACGTGTGAATAAGCGTATCATAATATACGCGTAATATGTAAATGTGTTTTCTGGTGTTACTTGGAGTTTGTTGCAAGCTTTGTAGTGGGAGCTAGTGAACTGAGGAGAAGGTTCCATGACATGTTCTTTCCCTGGTTGCGTCTCCTGCTTCTGCGGCGTCGCCATTTTCTCTCCTTTTTCCTAGAAAATTTTCCCACGAAAACCTTATTAGAGACTTGTTTGGAAACCGAGAAAATGTCCCTCGGAACATACAAACAAGCAACGCATCCCCCGAGTCGAAACCATGAAAGCTCGGTCGACGTGACACGTGGCATCAACCTTCTGCCACGTGTGTTATTGAACGGAACTCAGCTGTCCATGAAAATGATAAACATCAGGGGTGGGCGTTTCGGGAAACGGTTCGGGTTCGGGACGGAATAGATCGGTTCGGTTTTTTCGGTTTTACAAAAATAGGTACCAATCGGGTTTTTTATTGTATTCGGTTCGGTTCGGTTTCGGTATCGGTTCGGTTCGGTTCCGGGTTTTATTAAAAAAAATGTTAGATTTCCTTTAAAAATATTCGGTTTTTCGGGATTTTTAAGGTTCGGTTCGGTTCCGGAAAAATTCGGTTCTCTAAAAATGGTACAGTTCGGAAAATAACAACGGTTTCGGGTCGGAAAAAATACCGTTTTAACGGTTCGGTTCGGTCCGGTTCCGAAGAACCGAACCGAAACGCCCAGCCCTAATAAACATCGATTGATACATATTTGTATATGTTTTCGGTGGGATTTCGATCGGTCCATTGTGAGTGATATTTATCTCTTTAGGACATTATCGTTTTGGTTTCTTTTGCAACATGAGCCTCTAATGGTTTGTTGTATTGTATCTTTTTTGTGTACAATTTCAATTTTCATAGATGTTGGTCCAATCTGTTACTAGCGATAATATCCATATATATAACCGCTATTATTCAACGATTTAGTTTTATCATCTCGATCTCTAATAACAACACTATGCGAGGGTAGGAATTAATTTTAATTTTTACATATTCGTGTAAATTGGAAATATAATACATACTTACTCTTGAGGACGATGATCACTATGTAGAATAAATTGGGCCTATTGGGCTCAGAATTGCTCATGGGCTTTTTGTATTCAGGCTTTGTATTGAGAAATCAGTTCGTACGCCGGTTTTTGTTTTTTTTAATATTGGTGAAATCCGATTGTAATGCTAAATACAATATGAGAAGTTCAGATTTATTTACCCAAGTGCCACTAAGAGTTATATAGTCTGCTTCGGTTTAATCAATTGGTGTTCGCTAGACAGAATCTTTTTCTGTCGAATCGAATCAAGATTTGTTTCAGTTGGATAATATCTTGATTTTTCTCAATTTAATTCGATCCCGGGATTGGGCTTTTCGCGAATTAGGTGAATTTTGTTGAAGGATATGTAAATGTACCAGAACCGAAACTACATTCAATTTCAAATTCGCTTCGGTTAGGGTTTTTGTTTCTCGTCCTCTAATGATACGTAGGTTGAGCAAAGTTACAATAGTATCTTCTCCTTCGCAGCTTGTAAGCACTAGGACCCACATCTGGCTAGGGTTTTTCCCGGGTTTCCATCTTCTTGGCACTCCGTCGCTCTTTACGCAGGTTAGGGTTCTTCTCATTTGTATGGCTTGTTTGATTTTAGGGTATATCTAGATTTATTTTTTTTTACCGATTTTCTGTTTCTGGGTTTTGGAATCTGGCTGTCAAGTGTCAGACTTTCTGTCTATGATCTCGAATCCGACACATGTTGAGGATTAATTTAACGACATACCCTTTCGAAGAATTTTACATTTTGCGCTTTTGATCCCAGGAGAACGACCAAAGCCATTAGCATATTTTCTAGGCATTGCTCCTCAAATTTATCTCTCTCGTTATTCTTCATTTCCGAGTTTGACATTTCTTAATTGGTTCTACTCTGGTAAATTTATCCAATGTATTATCAGATGTTTGATGCGTCTGATGCATATTCTCGTTCCATTTTGGGTTGGAAACCTTTCGGGTCTCTTTCGTTGTTCAAGTCTGCATCTATAATGCATCTGCTATTCAAGTGATGATCGATGGTTTCATGCAGTAATGTCGTGACTTTACACTTTCTAATTTGTGGTATTGTCTTTTTGTTGTTGGAGAGTAGAGCAGGAACATGTTGGATATAAACCTTTTTCGAGAAGAAAAGGGTAACAACCCTGAGATCATCCGCGAATCTCAGCGCCGCCGCTACGCCAGCGTCGAAATTGTCGACGAGATCATCAGGCTTGACAAGGAGTGGCGCCAACGTAATTTCCCCTCCCTTGCTCCCAAGCATAGTCTATTGTATGTTTCTCATTTACGAGTTTCGTGCTGTTGTTAATACTTTTATTTTCAGGCCAATTTGAAGTAGAGAATTTCCGGAAAGAGTTCAACAAGCTCAACAAGCAAGTGGCCAAACTTAAAATCGTGAGTTTCCTTTCCTTTCCCGTCTGTTTCTGTTCCTTATCCGATACTTTCTGCTATGTCTTTTGTGGAAGTTGTGTTAGAATTTGGAAAGCTTGAGAATCGAATCAGCAGAGTGTGGTACTTTATACAGATATGAGATTTTTATCCAAATACCTGTTCAGTTTTAGTTGTATGAATGTCTCGTGGTTAGGTTTCCTTTTATATCGTGTGACTGGATCTGATGGTGTTAGTAATGTTTTTTTTTTTTGGTGGGGGTTTTCTGGAAATAGTCTGGTGGTGATGCGAGCGAGCTGATTCATCAGACAGAGAAAAACAAACAGGAATCTGCAGAAAAGGAAGCGGAAGTCCGTGAAGCTTTTGCTGCTTTGAAAGCCAAATTGGAGACAGTCGGAAATCTTGTCCATGACTCCGTTCCAATTAGCGATGATGAGGTCCGTGATACTTTATTATGCCTTTCTTTTCTGTTCCTTAGTGTTAGGGAAATGTGAGTGACCCGAATGAGACCGTCTTGGACCAATCCACGGATGAAATGATAGTCGATAGCAACATGTTTCATACGAGAGTGAAACACGGGGTTTGAGCAAAGATATGTCGCCCCGACGTTGTCACAATAGATGACCGGCAGATCGGAGGGGGGACAC